TCCCTCCTGGACAAATAAATGACCCGGTGGGCAACTGGACAGATGCGTTACCCCTCAATTGTCTACTGCTCAGCTACTGTTCGGATGCTCTTGCTTACTGCTCCGCGCTTTGCTCTATCGCTTTTATATTTTTTATCGCTCTATCGCTTTTATATTTTTATATTTTATCTCCTTTTATCACCTAATTTTAACTTCAGCAAATCAGCACAGTGCTCAAATGCTTGATTACTACAAAAAAGCAGAATTCTTTTCTCCGACCAGCCTCCCACTGAAAGCTTACATTCCGGGGAAGGGAAAACACAACTGCCTACATTCAAAAGGATAAGAGAAAATGCCTCTTCTGGAATCTACTTGCTGCATTAACTGCCAGAGACTTTTACAAAGGATTGCAGTTCTTGAAAAAAAGTTACTTGTGGGACCACTAAACCAGACAGAACACACAACAGAGCTTCGTCATGGACGCCCTCAGCATACAGCCGGTGAGTCCCATGAATCTAGTCCTCCAATACAGGTAATACTGAGTGTAGAGAAACAAGCCGATCGACTTACAAATCGATGGCATAAACAGGGAGCGAGACCCAAAGGCACTCGAGACATCAGATTGTCACGAGCATCACATATTGCTGCAGTAGCATCCTCTACCCCAGATAAGGCTCTGACAAGGATTGTAAATACTGGTCTCCTACCACCGCCTATACATCTTGAGAACAGATTTTAAGTATTAATGAATGAATCCCCGAATGTGATTAATGTGATCGAACACAGACTGAATCAGCCAGTAGCTAACACTGCTAACTGGCGCTCAAGGTCGAGCAGACAGCGGCACTCAGCTCAGAGCGCAGCCGAGCACAGGACTCTGATAGTGGGTGACTCCACAATCAGAAACATTATTAGCAGGGATACAACTACGTTCTGCCTTCCACAAGCAACGACTTCTGATGTAAACAGGGAACTTCAGAACATTCTGATGAAACATAAGACTGCAAATCGACTCATCATTCATGTGGGGAAGAATGATATTCATAAAGAGCAGTCAGAACTCCTTAAGAAGGATTTCAATGAACTTTTTGAAACACTGAAAGTTCAGACATTCATCAGTGGACCACTCCCAGCAAACTGGTTTTCACGGTTGCTTGGGCTTAACACATGGCTGCAAAAAAAACGGCAATATAAAAGGAGAGAACTTCATTGACAACTTCCATCTTTTCTGGAGTCAGAGGCAACTGTTTCAACAGGATGGGCTCCACCCAAACAAACTTGGTTCAAGAGTGCTAAAGGACAATATCTACTTCTCCCTCACAATCCTCCTTCTGCAGTGTGTGCCAATCCACTCAACCTGAATGGCACACACACACCTGGACGCAGTATGAATGACCACAGGACTTCACTTCAGCACCTGACTGGACATGCGGTTGACATATCACACAAGGACAATGATAACACCATGCAGCCACAACAATTTCTGCTCACGGACACAATCTCAGCTGAGCCCTGCCCACAGAGCTCACCACAGACAGACTGTGGCATATTAGAACTGCTCCAAGATTCAGCTCCCAAGGACGACTTTCTGGAAAACAGACAGGCAAACCCGGACAGCATATTACGGTCTCAGAGAACACCAGAGCAACAGCCCCTCTCCCCAGACACCGTATCCCTCTCTCCAGCATCTCCACTTCTGTGCTTCTCAGAGAAAATGGAAAAACTGGTGTATGCTGGAACCAAACTATCCCACTCTTTTGCTGCAAGCCCCCAGATGTCAACCAAAAAATGGCAGGCCCCCCAAGCACCAAAGTCTGAGGGCCCAGCTCGCCCTCCCCCTCCTCCTGTGAGAGCTCTTCGGCCTCTGCCACAGCGCCAGGGCTCACACCCTCCTCCATCTGCACGAGGTGAACCAAAAACAACTGATACCAGCTCACACTGATATGTGTCGGGTCCCCGGTATGATAACAGTAACTTTCTTAAATGTTTACAAAACAAGCGGGAACCCAGTGTGCCTGAATCTTTCTCTATTGCTGTTCAATTACATGATAGAAAATCTAAGGCCTTCAAAAGCCGTACAGCAAACCCATCTAATCTGGTACCTATTACATGCCAAACTAAGATTGCTCTGGGGACAAAAAGTTAAGTTAGCACTTTTAAACATCCGCTCACTTAAAAATAAATCCCTTCTAGTCAACTACTTAATAACTACATACAACCTGGAATTTATGTTTCTAAATGAAACTTGGCTAGAAGACAGCTGCAGTGCAACAGTCCTCAATGAAACAGCCCCTCCTAACTTTACTTTTATGAGTGTCTGCAGAGCGGGTAAGAGAGGCGGGGCTTAGCTGCTCTTTTTAAAGATGTCTATGAATGTAAGCAAATATCATTTGGGAATTATCTGTCTTTCGAATATCTGGGTATTGTGTTAAAAGGTGCTCCACGTATTTTACTTATCATTATTTACAGGCCTCCAAAATACTTTCCAGCCTTTGCTGAGGACTTTACAGAACTGCTTTCAACAATTTCCACAGAGTTTGACTGTTTTGCCATTGCTGGAGATTTTAACTATCACTTAGATAATGCAGAAACTAATATGGCAAAAGAAATCAAAACTGTTTTGAAAACTATTGATCTGACTCAGCATGTACATGGACCCACACACAATCGTGGACACACTCTAGATTTACTAATCATTAAGGGTCTAAACATCTCATTGATTGTAATTAAGGATGTAGCACTGTCTGATCATTTCTGTATTTTCTTTGATATATTGATCTCTCCTGCTATTGAAGCTAGATCTGTGTCTGTCAAGAAGAGATGCTTAAATGAGAACACTAGTGTGCTATTTATGAAGGCTATATCTTTAAAACCAAGCATATCTGCTGACTCTGTTGATTTTCTCCTTGATTCTTTTAACTCAAAAGTTAAAAGTGTAATTGATGATATTGCTCAGTCTTTACACTCGCTCCTAGTTACATTTAGGATTGATTTTAAAGTATTATTACTGGTATATAAATCATTCAATGGGCTAGGACCTCAATATATTGCAGACATGCTCACTGAATATAAATCCAACAGATCACTCAGATCATTAATCACATCAGCTAGAAATACCAAGGGTTCGCTCTAAGCATGGAGAGTCTGCTTTTAGCTATTATGCTGGAACCAGCTTCCAGATGAGATCAGATGTGTTCCCACAGTAGTCACATTCAAATCCAGACTCAAAACACGTCTGTTTAGATAAGCATTTACTTAATGAGCACTGTGCCACTGTTCGTCCGACTGTTTTTACTGTACTTTATTTTATTTTTTATTCTAAACTGTTTTAAAGGTGCCCTAGAATGTGAAATTGAATTTATTTTTGCATAGTTAAATAACAAGAGTTCAGTACATGGCATGACATACAGTGAGTCTCAAACACCATTGTTTTCTCCTTCTTACTTAAATCTCGTTTTTGTAAAACACCCCTGAAAAATAGGCGAATCTCCACATAACACCGACTGTGATGCAACAGTCGGGATCATTAATATGTACGACTCCAAGAATTTGCATATGCCAGCCCATGTTCAATGCCAGGCGGAACTGCGCAGCCGAAGCATGGCAGTTGCTCAGTGTTTGGATGTACACATGAACACAAGTATTTTTTAGTTCCTTCATCCGAGCCTCTGAAGAAACAATGGGATAATTTTATTTTCTCTGGAAATGTCCAAACATTTCACCGACGACTGTTTCCTCAACTTGGGCCAATACAGAGCTGGCCTCGGATCGAGAGCAAGCAACATTTTCTGATGTGTAATTGTTCAAGTTCAGACAGGTAATCTTTCTCTCAAAATCGTTCAATACTGTTTATGCATCAGTAAGTCAAGCCAGTGACTAAATATCAACTTCACATCGTTTCTTTTAGTAGGATGAAAAAAAACGTTTATAAATTGTGAATAAATTATATACAGAAAGCGATCAAAGAACAATCTTTCCACAGCGCGAGTTAATCTGGATTCTGGACACTTTTGAATTCAATGTTATGAATTCAATGACGCACGTTACACTGCACAACGAAGCTCTTACTGTATTAGGTACATCATCGTGTTTGCATTGGTGAAAGCATTAGAGAGAGCAGAAACTGAGTTGCAATGATAAGATCTTCATTCTCGCGATCAACAGACTGTCATCTGGTTGCTCAATGCTCAGTCTTCACGGCAACATATGTGATGGGAATAGATCTAAATACTTTAAAAACATCTCACGATTCGTTAATCTCGATAGCTGTAATAGTAAAAACGTATAATAGCTGTAGTAAAATTATTCGAGAGAGTTCTCTTACGAGAGTATCTCTCGTACTGCGTAATATCTTACGCTATGGGGAAAACCTCTTTTCCTCGAGATATTGAAGCCAAAAATTATCCTTAATTTTTAATCAATGCAAAACGCTTTGCGGCAGCAAGCAGACATAGGCGAGCCGATAGCTGATACAAACTGATTTTCATCTCTTCAGCGAAGCCTCACGCATAGCTGGATACGGAGTGAGAAGCCGCGCTGTCGACGCAAGCCTTCAGCGGGACGAGCCCTCGAGTCTGGAGTCGCTGGCCTTCACCTAGCCGCCTTCAGCCGCCGTACCTGCTGCACTTTCCGGCGCCCATATCCTTTACTCTGCTGAGAGTGTTTGTTTGCTGTTGCAACTCACACTTCTCCTAACTCTAAAAGAGCAAGCGTCTTTTTAAAGATGCCTTCCTGTGGCTCGTGCCGAGCCCAACTCAGCGACGGGGACCGCCATGTCATCTGCGTTTCCTGCCTGGGTGAAGATCACGCGGCTCTCGCACTCGCCGACGGCGGATGCCCTCATTGCGAGCTGCTGCCTATGGTGACTCTGAGGACTCGCCTGGCATCATTCTCAGAGCCTGCACTTCTGCCCGCTGTGGTACCGCGCCGCAAAAAGCGCCGTGCTCAGCGCGCACCCGAGCTCTCTCCTGCCCGCCAAAGCTCGCCGGTTCGCCCGCCCGCATCGCTCGAGTCGCTCACGGATGGACAACGGCCGCCGTCTGCCGCCGTCTGCCGCCGCGTCCGCCATTGAGCTTGACGAACCTACCGAGGCATGTTCTCTCCTGGCATCGGATAGTGAGGACTGGGCGAGCTCTGTGGACCTCCCCCCAGCTACCCGCCAGCCCCGTGGGAGACGAGCCGGCATTGAAGCAGAGCTGATGCGTCTGCTCTCTCAAGCCGTGGAGACCATCGGCCTTGACTGGGAGGCGCCCGCGCCACCACCGCGCAACAGACTCGACGGTCGCTTTCTCAGAAAGAATGAAGCCCCGTCACAGTCGAGATCCGCGCCCTTCCTCCCTGAACTTCACGAGGAAGTCGCGAAATCGTGGAACGCCCCCTTCTCCGCCAGGCTGCGTACCTCTTCCTCTGCTGCATTCTCTTCTGTAGACGGTGCGAAAGATAGAGGTTACCTTTCCATTCCTCCTGTGGGAACGGCTGTAGCGTCCCATCTTTGCCCGCCCTCCGCTGGACGGCGCGCTCAGACGGCGCTACCATCTAAAGCCTGCCGAGTGACGTCAGCCATGCAGGGACGCGCTTACACCGCCGCCGGGCAAGCAGTTTCAGCGCTGCACACAATGGCTATTCTGCAGATCTTCCAAGCCGACCTTCTCCAAAAATTGGACGAGGAAGGACCGGGAGCGATCTGCGTGGCGGACTTAAGATACGCTACAGACCTCGCTCTACGCGCAGCAAAGGCCGCCGCACAGGCCGTGGGGTGGACATGGCCTCTCTCACCGTGGCTGAGAGACATTTGTGGCTGACACTGTCCGAGATGACGGAAGCTGAGCGCTCCGTGTTCCTCGACGCACCCATTTCGCCAACGGGCCTTTTCGGATCTGCCGTCAAAGATTTCGCGGACAGATTCGTCGAGGTGCAGAAAACATCGCAGGCCATGAAACACTTCCTGCCGAAGCGCTCGAGCTCCGCTACAGGCCGCCCGAAACAGCCGCCTGCCCGAAGCTCTCAGCCGCAGCCTGCACCACCCGCCGGCGCCGCTTCACAGCGCCGCCAGGCCCGAGACCAAAGACCGCGCTCTCGCTCTGCTGGACACCGCCCTCCCCCTCAGCGCGGGCCCCGGCCGAGGATTGAGATCAAGCCCGAGGTCTCAAAGCCTTCCTAGCCTCTCTAGGAAAGCGACGGTGTTCAAATCCCACTGCGGCCGGATTTCCACCCAAACTTCCACCCAAACACTGTCCCAGTGTATTTTGCAGTGAGCAAGCCAGCTCCAGAGCCCGCTTGCCTGCACACAAAAGCCGTTTTTACGGCTACCCAGATAAATCCAATAAAGAGTGCATTTTCTGGTGTTCCGGCCACGGCCGATGGTGTTATGAGTGTTGTAAGAATGCCCACGTCCCAGTGCCCATTCCCACACCCAGACACAGCCCGCCACGGTGCAGGGCTAGCACAAATAAAATCGACTCATGTCGATTGTGCAAACAATGTAGTAAACGCGCCCACATCACACTTACACTACACGATGCGTGTCCCTTGGTTTCTGTAAAAACGAAACTAACACGCATTCAGTCGGCATGAGCCGACAGTGTTTTCAGTGCAGTAAATGTGCCCGCCATCCCACGCCCACATTCTCTCACAGACACGCCGAACCCCACGGGTTTCGCCCCGCTCGCCTTCTCTGCACTACCAGTCATAGAAAAGCTGAGTGCGGCCAGGCTGCCCGCTGTGATCAGCGCGCCCCCCGCCTCGCACGCTGTAAACACGGCGTTGAGTTCTCAGCACACCGAGGCTCTCGAGCCGCCGTCAGGCCGCGGCCAGAGCCCGGATTTCATTCTACCTCTAGCTATTCACGCAGATGCGTGGTCAAAACTCCCCGGGGTATCAGAATGGGTGCTGAACACTATAAAGAGAGGCTATTCGCTACAGTTCGCTCGACGTCCCCGCCGTTATACGACGCGCGTCGAGACGACGGCGAAAAACGAAGTATCTCATCTACTTCGAGCCGAGATAGCGAAACTACTGAGCAAAAGTGCTATAGAACCCTTATCTCAAGCTCAGAGCGAAGGGGGCCTATACAGCAGATATTTTCTGGTACCGAAAAAAGATGGGGGTCTCAGACTCATTTTGGATCTGCGACAGCTGAACAGAGCGCTTGTGAAGCGACAGTTCAGAATGCTTACAACCAGGAAAATCCTCGCGCAAGTTTGCCAAGAGGACTGGTTTATGTCAATAGATCTGAAAGACGCCTATTTCCAGATACAAATAGCGTCCCATCACAGGCGATTCTTGAGATTCGCCTTCGAGGGCCAGGCATATCAATACACAGTCCTGCCGTTCGGCCTGTCACTAGCACCCCGTACATTCACGAAGTGCATGGACGCAGCTCTCGCACCCCTGAGACTCCGGGGCATGCGAGTTTTGAACTACTTGGACGATTGGCTGAATCTAGCTCGATCTCAATCAGAGCTCATAGAACACAGGGCCACATTACTCGAGTACCTCGAGAGTCTGGGCCTCACAGTCAATTGGGCGAAAAGCTCGCTGTCTCCCAGTCAGAAAATTTCTTTTCTGGGAACAGTGCTGGACTCGCTATCCATGACAGCACGCCTGTCGCCGGAGCGCGGACTAGACGTTCAGCGCGTCGCGAAATCCTTCCGCCACGGCTCTATAGTCCCGCTCAAAAGGTTTCAGAAAATGCTGGGCCTGATGGCCTCAGCAGCCTCTGTACTCCAGTTGGGCCTGCTTCGCATGCGCCCACTGCAGATGTGGCTAAAAGCGCGAGTTCCGCCCCGGGCATGGACCGCTGGTCTGTTTCGCCTCAGGGTCGATCTAGAGTGCGTCTCAGCCCTGAAACCTTGGAAGGTAACCGACTGGTATCAGTCAGGGTTAGTCTGGGGACCGCCTCGAGTGTGCAGGTGGTGTCTACGGACGCCTCCACCTCGGGATGGGGAGCGCTGCTCAAGGGCAGACCGTTCGCTGGCCTGTGGTCAGAACGGGAAAAGCTCCTTCACATAAACTGCTTGGAAATGATAGCAGTCGACAAAGCGCTACGGTGCTTCTGTCCCCAGATAAAAGGTCACCACGTCCTGGTCCGGTCGGACAACATGTCAGTGGTGGCACACATAAATCGCCAGGCTGGCGTCAGGTCCCGAAACCTTTACAGGTTGACGGAACGCCTTCTGGTCTGGGCTCAGCACAACCTGCTCTCGCTGAGAGCAGCGCATGTGCCTGGTCACCTGAATGTGGGACCAGACAGGCTGTCCAGAAACAATGTCCCAGCAGTGGAATGGTCGCTGCACCCGCAGACGATCCAACTGCTGTGGGAAACGTTCGGCAGAGCGCAGGTGGACCTGTTCGCGTCCCTCGAAAACGCTCAGTGTCCGAACTTCTTCTCGAAGAGCAGGGATGCGCTAGCCCATGTCTGGCCCCGCGTTCCCCTATATGCTTTTCCCCCTGTCTCGCTCCTGCCTCAAGTGTTGGAACGAATCAGGGAAAACGGATGCCCAGTGCTTCTCGTGGCCCCGCTCTGGACAAACCAGACCTGGTTCCCAGTCCTGATGCAGCTGGCCAGCACTGCCCCGTGGCCTGTACCACTGAGGAGAGACCTCCTCTCTCAGGCAGGGGGCTCGATTTGGCATCCTCGCCCGGATCTGTGGTCCCTGCACGCATGGGCCATCAACGGGTACCCGCTAACCTCCCGGAGGGAGTGTTAAACACGATCACGCAGGCTAGAGCTCCGTCTACACGACGGCTCTATTCCTCGAAATGGTCAGTGTTCTCTGCTTGGTGTCAAGCTCAGGGCTTTTCACCCGTAGACTGCGGGGTTACGGAAGTGCTTTCCTTCCTTCAAGAGCTGCTGGATAAGGGCAGAACCCCATCCACGCTCAAAGTATACGTGGCGGCCATAGCAACGTTTGCAAAACCGGCGTCTGGCCAGCCACTGGGGAAGAACGACCTAGTCGTGCGTTTCCTCAGGGGAGCTCGGAGATTGAACCCTCCCAGGCCCCCTTCAGTCCCGATGTGGGACCTTTCCACGGTGTTGGAAGCCATGAAAGGTGCCCCATTCGAGCCAATCCATTTGTCAGACATGAAACATCTGTCTTTCAAAACGGTGTTTCTCATGGCTCTCGCTTCAGTGAAGCGCGTAGGGGACTTACAAGCGCTTTCGGTAAGCGCGTCATGTATGGAGTTTGGGCCTAATGACTCAAAGGTCATACTCAAACCTAGGCACGGGTACGTGCCGAAATCCCTCAACACACCGTTCAGGGCCCAGGTGATTTCCCTGTCCGCCCTTCCGGTTCTCAATGAGGAGAAGGACACGAGTCTCCTTTGCCCCGTCAGGGCACTAAGAGCTTATGTGTCCCGATCGTCTGGTTTTAGACAGACTGAGCAGCTTTTCGTTTTGTTTGGCGGACGTTCTAAGGGACTTGCCGCATCAAAACAGAGCCTATCCAGATGGATAGTTGATGCCATAGCGCTGGCTTACACCTCTAAGGGCCTGCAGTGTCCCTTGGGTGTCAGAGCGCACTCCACGAGAGGCATGGCCTCTTCGTGGGCATGGTCTAGCGGGATTACCCTGCAAGATATTTGTACGGCTGCGGGCTGGGCCTCGCCGTCTACATTTATTAAATACTATAACCTGGAGGTCCCCGCCTTACAAGCTAAGCTTTTGGCGGTCTAGAATTCAGTGCGATCTGCCCCGCTGTGTCGGCCCAGATGCTGAGTTTGGCCTGCGTATCGCTCACTGACTGATACAGCAGCTCCACGAGTGTCGACACATGTATGGCCACCCAGTTTAGGCTGAAAGTGTTTTCACCCTGACTACGTGGTATAATATCTACATGATTAGCTCCTCTGGATGCTATTTTATAAGGAATGACGCTTCTAGCCCCTCTTCCTTCACTCTTTGTGAGTCTATGGTGATTATGCACTACATGCGCCCCGGGCCTCTGCCCTTGGGACTTTGGTGTTGGATCCCTGTATGCACGGCGTGTTACACTGTGTTCCCCATAGCGTAAGATATTACGCAGCATGAGAGATACTCTCGTAAGAGAACGTACTCGGTTACTAACGTAACCTCTGTTCTCTCTAGAGAGGGAACGAGTACTGCGTATCTTGCCGTGCTTACAATACGCTCTGGTTCGCTTCGGCAATGAAAACCAGTTCTACCAGAAAGACTCGGGAGAATAATTACTGTAACAATAAATACATTTATTGATAGCCCAGCAAGCAATAAAGTTCTTTGGCGTGGGCCCCGTCCATAGCTCGCAATCCGAGGGTCCGGACTCTGCATTTCCTGCCTGAAGACGAAGGCAGGGGCGCAGCCGACCCCCTGTGAGGTATAGGAAGGGACCATCCTGGTGGTGGTGGGGAGGATGGAGGGGAAGGGACCATCCTGGTGGTGGTGGGGAGGATGGAGGTGAATGAAAGCGTCAGCATCTGCGAACTCAAACATGTGTAAGTACTGGTCTTTTATACCGCAAGTATTAGACACGATTGGATAGATGAGAAGGTAATAAGTGACGTAGCAATTGAGTCTTCCTGGCAGAACTTAACGCTAAAGCTTCCATTTCTACCAGAAAGACTCGGGAGAATAAATACTGTAACAATAAATACATTTATTGATAGCCCAGCAAGCAATAAAGTTATTTGGCGTAGGCCCCGTCCATAGCTCGCAATCCGAGGGTCCGGACTCTGCATTTCCTGCCTGAAGACGAAGGCAGGGGCGCAGCCGACCCCCCAAAATAGGTGGAAG